ATCACCTCTGCCAGTTACGTCTGGTGGAGACGGTTCCCTTGGTGCTCCTTTGCTAAGGCGTTGTGAAGTTGAGTGTCAATATTACGAGTCCAGCCCATGGAGGTGTGGTATGCGTCAGCAGAGGGCAACGCCCAGGGCTGTTTTCTAGAGCAACGTAACTGATAGTGAATCACTCGTCAGGAATGTCTCACGGCATCTTGACACGAGGGGAGACGAGCATGGCGTCGAGGGTGTTTGAAGTGTGCCTCTCAGCAGCGTTTCACGTGAATACCATCAAACAATTACGTATATTTGCTGTGAAATGGGAAGGTGAAGTTGGTGATCCAGTCAAAGCGGGTGGGTGTCACTCACGTGTCGCTAACACTTCTTTTCCATGCCTTCTTTCTGGCTGCAAGGTTAGGTTGTTGAGTTCATCATTATCATTTTAAAACCTGTTCTACTCATCTCACACTTTTGAGGTATCAATCTTTCATTTTCACGACTATGGATGTAATATGTAATCTCTCTGCCTGATTAACCTCAAAACTGGAGAGACAACCAAGAACTGTCATACATCACAATGTGTTTCGTGAGAAACATTTTGGTTTTGGAATTAGAAGAAGCTAGTGCTTCATCTCGCCTTTCGCCTGCCTCAGTCACAGGGAATTCCCCATGTGCCACATATGTCACCAAATTATGGGTCCCTTTGCTTCGTCAAAACCCGCCTAACATTTCCAAAGCCAACTTTGATAATGAGGTGACATTCGGTTCAATCTCGTCATGCAATTTCTAGTTGGGTTGTCTGGGTCTCAGGCTCCGCAAATTTTCTGTGCATTTTTAATGTTTTCTGGCACGCTTTCCTGACTTACTCCGACCTCAAGGAGGTCACTAAAGGCTGTAGGATTTCGTCGTGCCTATAACCGAGGCATCTGGTGGAACATCACAAACACCAGTCTGCCAACCATATGAGTTGGGTGCCTTGTCAATGCTCTTCTTAGCAAAGAAAACGTCTCGTGTTTCTCTTGATTCATTTGAATATGGCATGGCAATTACTGTGTGATCCCACTTGTGTCCTTAGGTGATCCCAAAAAGTGTTTTATGCAAAAAAAATAAAGGAAACCAAAAGAGCGATAATGTGTCCATTAGGATGGAAATGATTGGCGTGTTATCGAGGGACACCATCAACCTCCTTCCTCAACGATAGCACTACCACCCTTCATCGTGAGACATTTATTAACGCTTAATTTTAACCACAAAAAGACAACACACTGACGAAAGTAATCACACCAAAAAGATAATCAGTTTATTGATGATTATTTATAAAAACAGAGGGGGAGGAGAAAAAGTTATTATATGTCGAAGCGAAAGGCAAGTGGAGGAGGAGGTAAATCACTTACAACCCAAAGGTTTGATTGTCAGCGCATTTCAATGGGAGACATGCGACAATAGAATGAGAACGAGAGAGTTATTAGGTTAGAATACATGATAGTACCTTTTCGCGGCCGTCTAAGCCCGACCCATGCCCGCGTAGCTGTTTCGTCTATCGCTTTCACTGCTCGACGAGATGCGTCTCCCTATTCCACTGTTGGTTGGTCTGTTGACTCTTCTCATGGGTTTCTCTCTTAATTCCACCTCTTCATCACTGCTCGAACTACACTCGAAGTAGCTGTAGTTCTCCGGGACTAGGTGATGTGCAGTAAACATGTAGACGTTCCCGGAATCTGACAGTCGACTTCCAAAACCACCATCCGTCTTTATTAGTTTTACATCCACAGCCCAATCATCGTCGTACATGTCAACTAGTAAAGCTTCGCGTAACTCCTCTTCCCGTCTGGCACATATGGGTTGAGCAACCTTCCAATTTTTCGGAGGTTCCACATACATCTCCTCGATGCGTGGTGGCTCCCGTCGATGTTGCTGTTTCTTCTTGTTCGCCTTTGTGGAAGGCGGCCCACTGTGTAGTGGTGTGCGTGGAAGAGTGCGTGGAGAGGTGTCCTCCTCGTCATCCTCCTTTTCGGATTCGGGCTTTCTTGGATTCAGCATGGCTGGGAATGCAGATCGCACTTCTGGTGTGCTATGAACGGCAATTTCGTTCACCTCCGGCTTAGATTCAGTCTCGGAGGCTTTTCTGGGCGATATAGTACGTGGTGAGGTGTCTGGTGTTCTGGTATGAATGCTTTTTGTAGTGCTTTCGGAGGCAGCTTCCGATTCCTCGTCTTCAGAATGATCATTCCCTTCCTCCACCTCATAGGATGATGGCTTGTCCACACTTTTCCCATTTTCCTGCATTTCCACTTCGGGTTCTTCAGATATTGCACTTTCGGAAGCTCGTGATTGACCAGGCGATGTGGCCTCCGGTTGTGCAGGCAATGGTGCCTGGCTGTTCAAACGTTTTCGTCCGCTCTGGATGACATTACAAACACGATTTGCGTCAGATTCACTCTTCATCTTCAACAATAGATAGGCACGTTTGCCCTCTGACTGATCAGGCACCACAAGTATCACCAACTTAGGATCCCGAGCAAAAATAAAGAATCGGTAGACCTCATTGCACAGCAGTGATAATTCGCGTTGCCCCGAACCAACTACCGATTTACGCTTGATTATAAGTCGGGTATCAGTGCCGATAACCTTGACTTTGTAAGCCTTTCCGAGATTTCGATGAGAGCGCATTTCAAGAACTTCTCGGGCACCCTGAATGTCCACCTCATCCTGTGGTTTAATGGGCACTCGACCTTCTACAACGCCGTCTGACTTGAACTCCGCGGAGATCCTCTCCTTGTGATGCTTGTGTTTTGCGGTGGCAGTGTTTGTTGACATACTTGGCGTCGGTGAGGCGTGTGATCGGAGTGAGAAGCCCTCTTCGCTGTTTGTGTGCAGCTCATTCACTGCCAGTGTGTGTGTGCACTGCTCAACCAATCACTTCATCGTTGCCTCAGCTTCTCATTGGATCAAGGAGCGCGTTGCTATGAGATTTGCCAATTTAAACAATTAAGCGCACTAGTATGAGTTGTGATAAATGGATGGAAGTAGTTCACATCATCTGACCCTCTTAAACGACCTATTTTAGATTTAGTTGAGGTAATCACTACTATCAGTAGTTGAATGCTCAAACCTCGCACTTCCTATCACGAAGATGGGTGTGCGGTCCAAAGGCGAGGGAAACAGGTGACCTGCAGTTCTAATAAAGGACAATTTCAACTGACTCTAGTTTTGGACACGTGCATGGCGAATACCCCATCACTCAAATGAATGAAACCAAAAATTGTCAATTCACGTAGCTAATTTCTTAAGACCACTTTTTCTTCTGAATGAATGTACTTTTTCCTTTTGTCTGAGCCCAGGCCTTAGTGAAACCTATTAGGTGTTCACCACCCCAGCATCGCGTTTACCACCCATTAAGCACGCACGCACGCACATGATGGTCTCATTTAAATTGCAAAATCGAGTTACGACAAAATTGCCTAAAATTTCCTTTTTTCCATAAATCATGGAACTCGAATACGGTGCCTTTTTTTCGTTGTGGAAATGTATATTGATCAGCCTGGCTCTTTAAAATGGTGAAGTGACCTCAGCCACTGAGGCCCGAGAAGAGACTGGAGGTGTCTCCGAACCTCTGATTGGGACAGTGCTATCGTATAACCGGCTGAGAAGAAAAGTAGTAAGGATTTCCCACTTAATCCTCCCTCTAAGTAAGTACTGCCTTCAAAATTCCCAAGCATTATTTCATTAAAAAAGACAAATCATCAAAAATATAGGCATGCTAAAGTGAACGAAAGGAGGGGACTGTTAATGAATTTGCTTTGTTGATATTTGCACCTCTCTGGTAGAAGTGATGTCGCGGAGACTATTCGCTTTCTGACCCGAAAATGCATGCCCGAGATTTCACACAGGAGCTGCCTTAAATTCCACTTGCGTTTTTCACACCTTCAAGTGGATGCCTCAACCTGATGCAAAAAATATT